TTGTTTTAATGAAAAACTTCAATTAATTTTTAATTTTAATAGTTATAATCTATAGTTTAACCTCGATTTTCATTATGTATAAGAATACGATCATTAAACATAAAGATTATATAAAGTGAAGTTTATGATTTAAATCTATTTTAATGTTTACAATTCATTGTCATTAATCCAGCTAGCATTAAATGACTTGCGATCTATCTATGACAAAATTTGTGTCTTTATGATCTCTCAGAATGGTTACTAAATTTTTATAACATACAATGGTGCATAATTCGTTCTTTTGAAACATATGCAAGAGAGATGTCTTTGCTATAACATCATCATAAGTTATAATCTCGATCATTTTTCATAACTTATCGTTCCAATTTAACATTTTCATCGGTCCACATTGAGTATTTCGAAGCGCAAGAGATGGTAGAGTACGACACGTCTAAAAAAATTAGATGAGTATCTCTCGCTCCAATAAGCAAGAAAATCACATAAGAAAAGTAAAATTTGGATTATACAGTAATGGAAAACAGTTTAAAAACAACGATTTTTTTGGTTTTTTTCATAATGTTAAGCACGTAGCTCCAATCCAAATAGTGATTTTACTAGCTAATGGAGTTTTCTATCCAATACACTTTATAGAAAGCTTTCACAGATGAGCAATGATAGCAAGACTCCTAAAAACCCGAACATGGTATTTTTCAGATTCTAGAAGACTTTGCCAAAGCTATTTTTGAACGGTGCCATCTTAAAGAGCACAAAATTCTGAGCAAAATGAAGGGTCGCCGAATTTTCTACGACTTCCTCATAAAAAGTTACAAGCATCACAAAAATCATGAAAAAACGAAATTTTTTTAAAAATCGACTAAAAACGCATTTTTTCATGATTTTTGTGATGCTTGTAACTTTTTATGAGAAGTTCGTAGAAAACTCGGTGACCCCCTCATTTTGCTCGGAATTTTATGCTCTTTAAGGTGACACCGTTCAAAAATAGCTCTGACAAAGCCTTCTAGAATTTGAAAAATACCGTGTTCGGTTTTTCAGGAGTCTTGCCATCATTGTTCATCTGTGAAATCTTGCTATAAAGTGTATTGGATAGAAAACTCCATTGGCTATTAAAATCACTATTTGAATTGAAGCTACGTGCTTAACATTATGAAAAAAATCAAAAAAATCGTTGTTTCTAAACTTTTTTCTACCACTTTATCATAAATCTTAAATATTTTCTCATAAAATCCCAGATGAATTTTGAAATACTTATCTGATTTATTATTGAATACGTATATATATATTTATTTCAAAAAACAAAAAAACAATTCTATAGAAATTACAAAGTCATATATGTTCGAATAATATGTCGAGCAAATTTTTCATTTTTACTTGCTTTATAAATTAAAGCAAGATTATAAGCTGCTTGATATTTTAATCCATATATATCATCATTATCAACAATAGGTGATTCTGTTTCTAAACATTTATGATAAAAATATGCAGCAGCATAATGTAACGAAAGAAAATGCATTAAACGACCTATATTATAATATGTTTCTGTACATTCACCACGTAAATTTCTATATTTTTTAAGAAAAGCAAGTGCATGTAAAACACGTTGATGTCTTGAATAAGCATATTTTTGACAAGCAACATGTACAAATGAAATAGCAAGTAATAATGAAACAAGTGGTTCATCAGGTGTTAAACGAAATAATTTCATATAATGAATAATTGCTAAACGATATGTTCCACCAATTAATGCAAAATTACCGACCATATGATGAAGTATTGGTGAATTAGGTCGTTTTTGTAATGAACGTACACAAAATTTTTGTAAACGAACACTTGGTGTTATTGTTGCTGTTAAAGCAAATAAATTTTGTATAACTGATGATTTTGAATAACAACGAAAAATTTCTCGACATGTTTGAAATGCAAGATCACCATTTTGTTGTAACATTAAACTGATGAATAATAAAAATTCAGTGAGAATAAGCCTAGAAAGAAAATCAAATTCATTGTTTTGATTCAGATAACAATACAAATGTCACTATTGATGTCCAATAGTGATACTCGAGTTTTAGACAAAGTTATCCATCGTGACTGAAAATCTATTGCACCACTGATGCTATCGGAGCAGCAGCAATGCCGCCATACGCATGTTTGTGTTTTTACGATAAATTTCCATTTTAATTTTTATATATTTCAAGCAATAAAAACCATCTAATAGTCACTAGAAATACTTCAATGTTCCAGCTGAAACAAACGTATTCATATCGATACACCAGCTTGTCATAGAAATGTCCTTCTTTTGAAATACAGATCAAAATAGACGTTTCTTTAAAAGACATCTTAATAAAAATACGTTCATTCTAGTTCAATTTTTGAAGAGCCTCTAGTGTCTATAAGACCGATCTATGGACGAAAATTTAATTCAAAATTCGATCATCCATGTTCTCAACTATTCTATACTCCTAGGAATAAAACGTCCAAAACTCAATTAGTGAAGGTCAGAAAATCAAACCAAAACAGACTTTTTCATTAACTATTCTTATTGATTGAATGGCAATAGTCACAAGCGAAAAGCGATTGAACATATTCTCTCATTAGATGTTAATTACATATAAAGCTACAAATAATGCTAAAGATGTATAATGAATTTATCAAATGTCGACAATGTTCATTTTTTTCGTTCAGACATTCTTCAGTTCGATTTTCGATAGTTTGGAAAGTACAAATTTCTTTTCTCAGCAGTCATGTGTAAAAAAAAAAGGATGTCAAAAATAAGCTAAACTTCCTAAAATAATATATCACTGGTTTAATCCAATGTATTATTTTGAAAGTCTCAGATGTCTTTCAAAGAATAAAAAAGAATGTAAGTTCAGGTCAAAGTTTTTCTAGTTCCTCACTAAGCCCAGGGCTCTCAATGTGGGTAGGAGGGGGAGGGGGCTGGTCCCGCAGAAATTGAAAATCTATTTTACTGTCTGGCACATTTTTAAATAGATGCTGTTTGGAGGATCTTCGCAAGCTACTCCCCCCCCCCCTTTGGCCTCGGTTTTGTTTTTGTGTATGGAACTTTTTCCGAGATTTGGTTCATCCCTGGAGGAGGATCTTTCCAAAGCTACCTCTCTCCCTCCCATTAGGCCAGATCACGACTTTCTATGAAGCACGGAAATGGCGCGCTGTCGCCCGGCCCCGGTCACCAATTTTTATGAAAAACTAGGAAATTTTCGGTAGCTATTTCTGAAAAGCTTTCGTTAGCAGACTGTCTGCGAAAGTTTATGAAAAGTGTCTGCTCCCTCCCCCCACTCTCAAAAACAATCGAGAGCCTTGACTAAGCCATAACAACCGAGGTGAAAAGTCAATAATCCATCCACTGCTTAGAACTTTTCAAATCACAATTCATATAAACTTCGACATTCAAAAGAGTGTAGACTTTATTTCATAAAAAAAAATAATGAATCTATGACGTACACAAAATTTACTTTAAAATTAATATAAGAACATTCTTTTCTAAGAAACTTTTTAGTTCATTCAAGACTATGACTAATATTATTCTTCGTTCATAATATCAATTTCTTTTTTCTATGCTATTGAAAAAAATTTTTACGAAATAAAAGAATGAAAACTATACCAATCAATTCTTGCATAAAGAAATGGAATAACTGTTCCAGCTGCAGTAACTCTTAAAAGAAGATCATGTCGTTTAATATGTATAAGTACATCACAAAATTTTCCATATAAATCAATAATACGATTTTTTAATACTGTATTTATTCTTGTATATGATGGATTTAATATAATACGTTTTTCATCAACTAATTTTTGTATTAATTCAAGACGACGTGCACGTGTACCACAATTAATTAAACGTTTTGAACAATCAACTGTTAATAAATATTTAATTGAACCAAAAAATAATTGCATTGCACATGGAATAAAATATGTTAATTGATTTTGATCATAAAGTGTTATACAACGTTCAACTAATAAATGAATTTTTTCAACTGTTACTTCTTGTTGTTCATCATCATCATTATTTTCATCAGGAAAATCTGTTTTTTCATTTAATTCTTGTTTTATTGGTCGACTAACAACTTCAGCTAATGTATGTTGACTTTGTTCATTCATACCAATTTGTTTTTGTAATGCTGATAATGATAAACGTGCTTCATTATTTTGTGAATCAAGTCTTAATGTTTGTTCAAGTGCTTCATATGCTTCATGAAATTTTGATAATGATGTTAACCATTCAGAATATTGAAACCATGATTGAGCTGATAAATTTGATAATGTTGAAAGATGTTCAAATAATTGACATGCTTCAATAAGATTATCGTTTAATGCAAAAGCAGACATTACATCAAGACATAATAATTGATCTGTTGAACGTACATTTGATTTATAATTAGGTAAAAGACGCTAGAGAAAATTTAAATACGAAGAACAAATTTTATTTATTTATTTGTATTTTCAAAATTGATAATTACCAATGCTACTGATATACAACCCATATCAATAATTGTAACAAGAAACATACCATAATAATCTGTTCTATAAAATTCTGGTAAAAGAAAACTAAATGAAAAAAAAAACAAAAACTTGATTTCGATACAATTCGATTAAAATCAATTATGAAATAGTTATCAAAGTTTTATTGTATGTCAGCGATTTACATCTGGGTTCCTATTGACATTTGACTAAGCTATCGAATTTTTTTTTCTAGAATACATAGATTTTCAAAAAAATTCGTATTTTCAATCTAAAACTTTGCGCATATAAAGAACTCAACTAGACTAACTTCCATAAAAAAAAAAACTCAAAAGTTTTGAATAAAGTTTCTTCGATATATGAAGCTTTCAAAAAATGCATATCTATGGGAAAAGGTATATACGTATATCTTGAAAAGACTTTTGAATTTTTTTTATGGAAGCTAGTCTAACTGAGATTTTTATATAGATCAATTTTCAAATCGAAAATATGATCTTTCTGTAAACATAGAGTTCTACAATAAAAATTCACTAAAAAAAAACTTCTGTGCATCAGTACAGACTTATTTTACGGCAGTCACAATTCACTAAGTTCGTAGCGAAAAGCCAATTGACAATTCATCTCGTTGCTGGATAAAAGATTGGTTTGACATCAAGTACTTCTTATCTAATGATTTCAACTCTTAGAACATATTCATATATTAGCTGTTTACATACATTGTCAAAAGCGAAAGTGTATGTTCGAACGGATAACATGAATGAATGAGCTAAAGTTGACCATTAAATGAGGTATATTCAAAGATCGAACATAGTGGTTAGGGAATACCAAAAGTAGTGGCAATAGAACAAAAAAGGAATACAAAAACAAGTTCATCAAGTGTTCGAAATAATCACCTTGGGTATCCACACACAATTGCATTCGTCGAATCCATTTATCGAATGTTTTTATACTTCTATTTATTTAAAGAGTTCATGAAACTATCATTCTTACCTTCGCTCTCAAAAACAAAGAGAAGATCAAGACAAGAATACATATGGAAGACAATATAGACTAATGTTATCGTTACATATCATAGCTAAACAAGCCTAATGATAATTTTATTATTATGATATTAGATGAATAATAATCAAATAGTGTAGAAATGTAGAGCTTTGTTTTTGCTATCAATTTATATAAAAAGGAAATTTCCTCAGATCGTCTATACGAAATTGAGATAGGACCATCACTACTTTTTGTATGCCCTAAGTACTTTTAACCCATGTGATAAAAACCGGAAGCGAATCGGCGATTAATCGCGGTTTTACCGGTCCAGTTATAGGCTCCCGTCGCTACAATTTACCGCGATTTATCGCTAAAATGAACTGGTTAACCGGTTCGCCGATGATCATTAACATTTAGTTGCTCCAAATCACCGATTTTGCTATTTTAAATGTTTTTTTTCTTGTACTTTCCCATGTCATAAAAATGCTCGGAAAAATCACCGGTTCACCGATTCGATTACCGGCTTCCGTTATTGCAATTTATCGCTAAAAACTGTCCAGTATGTGCGATATGGGAAGTTACATAGTAGATAGTTTAAACGTATCTACCAACGATAAAAACAAGTGTAGACGTTTATAATACAAATAAAAGTTTAATATGAAATATACAAAGTGTTGATATACTTTCTGAGTCTTTTTCATACATGTTTGAATAATATTTCATAATAGGCTGTTGTAAGCTTTATCGACCGTATTCTCTAATTCATGTTGTGACTTTGGGGTTCTTGTTTTTAATGCCTTGTTTGATAATTCTCCAGACGAGCTCAATAGAATTAAAATCAGACGTATAACTTGGTCATTCATATAATTCCGTATTTATATTGAAAACACAAAATAAATAGAAGCACATATATAGTGACTTATTGACTAATGTTATTCAAACATCTATGAAAAAGACTCAGAAAATATATCAACACTTTGTATCTTCATATTAAACTTTTATTTGTATTATAAATATCTATACTTGTGGATGTAGGTGCAAGTGTACTAGTGTAGTTGAAGAGAAGACCCACCCCTACATTCACACCCTCAATTGTGATTATTATAAATTTTGTAAGAACAAAGATACTACTAGTTATAAACATTTAAATGAGTATCTTGTTTTGTACGATGATTGTTATAGTTATTGGTAAAAATTTCAAATAATGAAGTCTTTTGAAAATGTTTTCTATACTGCTTGGTTCTTTATTTTTAGATAAAGAATGATTTTTCTTAAGTTTTTGTATTTCAAACATACTCTGCATCTTTGAGATCATCTAAATCAGTTGTATCAATAGGTAATTCTAATTCAGTATTGAATTTTGATAAACGAACACCAGTAAAATTAATTAAATTCTAAAATAATAATAATATCAGATATTCAAGAAAGTTTATTTTATAATTATTCTTTATCATACTTTAAGTAATTCAGGATATGATTTCGAATTGTATTGTATTTGTAAAAGACGTTCAATATCTAAAAATAATTATTTATTTTTTTTCTTATTAATATTCATTTTATCAAATCTAACATTCAGAAGGAAAATCTGTGCCCAAATCACGAAGACCTTTATAGAAGAGTGTTTGTAATTCATTATCTTTTCGTTCAGATGCAAGAATTGCCTATTAAAAAAAAATAAAAAAAAAAAAATTTTCTTTTCAAAATAATTTTAAAAAAAAATATTTTAATTTTTACTTGTAGAAGAATTCGATATTTTTCTAAATATAATGATTTTTGTTCGGAATTTTCTGATGGATGTAAAGCCATAAGTAATGATTGTAAACTATTCAAATAAAGTTTTCGTGTTCCATGTTTTTCAACATGTTCAATACGTTTTAAATGCATACTAATATCATTAGGATCAATTTTAACAACTACAAAAACAAAAAAAATATTTTGCAAACGAATAGCTTCGATTAATAAATTGCCTTTGCTTTTTTTAAATAAAAAACTATTGTATTATAGGTTGGAAAGTAACTTCCGACAGGCTTCAGTAAAATCCGATTGTTTCCGGAGCCTGAAATTATCGACTTAAGTTTCCCAAAACTATCATCTCCAAAAAACTATCGGTGATAAATTTACTATTTATACTTCAACAAATATTTGATAATTTTCATTTAAACAAATAATAAAAAATTTTCAATTTACTACGAAATAAAACAAATACAAAAATCTAATCACATAGAAAATAAATCATCATTTATTTTTGATAATGAAATACTTCAATATATTGATCATATTTATGAAAATGAACTTATTCTTTTTTTCATTATATTTATTAGTTAAATAATATTATTTTTGTTAAAATAAAATTATTATCATAGATAAAATATTCACTATTCAATTCAAAATATGTGCTCCACTGTTTTTTGCATAATTGCTGATAGGAATATCATAGATACCTGCAGTTTTCACTATTCAATAGAGAGCAGAACTGGGACCATCGAAATTTGATTGGTCACCAATTGACCCATGAGATAAGTTTTTGGTGGAGATTTTTGAAAACGATATTCTGAAACTATTTTCCTTTCAATAGGACGAATTGATACAAAAAAACTCTCTACACAAGGCCAACATTCGAGACTTATAAGACTTTTCCTACGATTCTCCATTTCAATCAATTCATCACACTGATTCAAATGATAATACTTGTTTTTAGATTCGAACTGATCTGACTCTGTTATCTTAATATTTCCGAAATTTCATAATCATCCTTCATAGAAGGAAGGAGTTGATATTTCGGAAATGTTGAGATAACAAAGTCAAATTAGTTTGAACCTAAAAATAAACATCACCGTTCGATTCAACATGGTAAATCACACCCGTCTAGCTACTTTTTTCGGATGGTCATAGATCAATTGGTTGAAATCGAGGATCTCAGGCAAAGTCTTATAACTTCAGAATGGAACAAATTAGGAATATCGACCTTGCGTAGAGAATTTTTTCTATCGATTCGTCCTATTGGAAGAGAAATGGCTACAGAATATTATTTTCAAAAACTCCAATCAAGAACTCATCTCATGGATCAATTAAATTTCAGTATACTTCAATGGTTCAAGATTTTCTCTATTGAACGGCGAAAATCGCAGATCTCTATGATATTCCTATCAGCAATTATTCAAAAAACAGTAGAACACATTAAATTACGATAGTTTCAAGGAATATCTAAGGCACCCAGCATTAGTTTCCAAAAACGAATTTATTAATTCTAACCACTATTTAATTGAATAAATCATGATGATTTTCTATCAATTGTAAAGCTCTTCGACTTAGTTCGAATCGGAAAAGTTTGGATCCAATGGGCTTTAGTCATCTGAAAACTCATATCTTCGAGGCGACTATCCAATTCGGATTCGTAAATTTTATTGAGATTATCAAAGTAAAGGATTCCGAAAATTTTAGATCCGACTTACTATTATTATAACAAGTTGTTACTAAATCATCAGCTTTACGTTGTTGACATTCAGCAAGCATTCGAAGCCATAAATCTTTTGAACGTTGACAATGAGCAGCAACAAAATTCATCTTCGAAAAATAACTTATAAAATTTTCTCTTTCAAAAACAAAAAAAACGAAATATTTCATTTACTTCAAATGCTTTATTATGTTCATTTTGATCTTCATAAATTCGTGCAATTGTTAAATAAGGTTCAGCAGCATTTGGAACTAATGAAAAATAAAAAAAAAAAAAACGTTTGAATATTTATTTAAGTCAAAATAAATATTTTCTTTTTACCATTTGTAATAACTTCTTGACATATTCTTAATGCTTTTTGAATATCACCATGAACATAAGCCATATTAGCTTCACCCATTAATGCTTGATATTCTTGATTAAGACGACTTTTTGGTACTTTTTCAGACTAAAATAAAATTTAAAATTTAATTAAATAAATAAAAAGTTCAATTTTATTACTGATGATAAAGGACGTTTACGATTTATTGAATATTTTGATTTATTTGATTGTTCTTTAAAATAAAACAATAATTGAATTCAAAAAAAAAAAAAAAATAAAGAAAATTTTTATTACTTTTCTTTTTTTGTTTAGCTAAACGCATTTGTTCAAGATGTTGTACCATTTTATTTCGTATTTCATTTTGATCAATAGGTTTTTCTTCATATTCATTATCATCATCATCATCATCATCATCATCATCAGAATTTTCATCTGTATCTTGTTGTTTTTTTCTTTGTCGACGACGTTTTATATTTGATTTATTTTCATTTTTTTTTCTTTTTAATAATTCATTATTATGTTGAGATTCATCAGAATTTTCACTAGTATTACTACTACTAAATCCACTTAAATCATCAATATCACTTAATTCATCAATTAATTTATCAATATCAACTATTTCAGCTTCACGTGTATCAAGAACTTTACCAACAGATACATTTGAATAATCAGTATTTACTTCACGTACACGTTTTTCATATTCTTGAAATGATAATTCACCTAGAAGAAGAATAAATCAAATATAATTATTACAAATTTCTTATTTTCTAAATACAAACCATTAAGATAAGCAAGTGTTTCAGCAGCTCCAGCTTTTTCACTTTCACCGGCTTGTAAATCTCGAAAATGTTTTAGAAATTTATTTGATGTAGCCATT